ACATTTTTGAAGAAGGGTCTAGGCCCGAAACGTCAGCCTTCCTGCTCCTCTGATGCTGCTCGGCCTGCTGTGTTCACCCAGCTCTGCGCCTTGTTATCTCTGCTTCACTTACTTGTTGCCGATGGTGGTAGCCGAATGCAGACTCCGTGGGAGTGGGGAAACACCATTCACGTTTGGCTTGTTCCATGTTAGTGTATCTGGAAGATGGTAAGAGAAGTCAAAAGGGATCCGTCTCTTTAGAATGGCAAAGACTCAGACTCTGACTGCAACAAACACTCCCAGGACAAACAGGTAAGGAACGGAACAAGGTAAAGATACACAATATCTTCCTCTAACCTTTTAATCCAAAAAAAAAGTTCCTTCTACTCTGAAAACTGAAAGGAAAGCTTCTTCTACATTGTTCCCATCACACCCTCCTAAGACAGGGACAGAACAGGGTTAGATACAGAGTTAAGCTCCCTCTACACAGTCACCCCCCCCTCCACCCCCAATCAAACACTCCCAGGGACAGGGACAGCACAGGGTTAGATACAGAGTAAAGCTCCCTGTACACTGTCCCCCATCAAACGCTCTCAGGGACAAGGACAGCACAGGGTTAGATACAGAGTAAAGCTCCCTGTACAGTATCCCCCATCAAATGCTCCCAGGACAGGGACAGCACAGGGTTAGATACAGAGTAAAGCTCCCTCCACATTGTTCCCAGACAATCCCAGGTAATAGAGTTGATGAGACTTGGGAGGGACTTTGTAAGGACTGAAGCTGTTGTCACATTCGCCCAGCCCATGGAAACCAGACGCTCAGTGAAACCACCTTCCCCTTACCGATGTCCAATGTCCAGAGATCTCCGAGTCGGCAGCCACTCATGCCTCCGTAGATGACCAGCTTGGATTTCTTCAGGGTTTTGTCGGTGTAGATGACGGCAGTGTGAGACTCCCGTGGAGGGGGCAGCACCCCGTAGGTGATGGGATTGTCCCAGCTCAGTACCCCTGAGCCTGGCCTCAGCTCCAATACGTAAACATCATTCAGGTAACTGGAGGGTGTCACAGAGAGGGATGGGTTGGGGCAGGCGCGTGAAGGCACGAGCCGGGTGAGGAAGGTTAGATACGCAAGAAGAGGATGAGCGAAACGATAGGAAACAGGAAGGATATGGGATGGCAGCAGCAGAGAGAAAGAAAGAGAGGAGAATGAGAAAGTGGACGGAGGGGGTAGAAAGGAAGAGACATGCAGATGTTTTAGCTGCAACTGAAAACAAATCCAAGAAGCTGTCAGAGAAACTAAATGATGCTCAAAGGGACAGAAAGATCCCAAGGTTTCAGCCCTGCACCATGCAGTACACCCCTCAGATGATTCTTGCCCAGTCTGTCTATCTTGCTGCCACTCCAAAGCTCTGTGGCTTCACATACCAAATCCCACAGCTCCCCAGCTGATCGCTTCAGCCTTCCATCCCATCAGCCCAACTCTTGGTGGTTTTGGGTCCAGATGCAATGACCAGCCATCGCTCTCTGGTTTTAACACAGCAGAGGTGAATTACAGGGGCTCGGGAAATTAAACAACACAGCGAGCCACGTCAAGAGGCGGAGAGTCAGGCAAATGACCCAAAGATTGATCGAAGAACCTCAAGTGTCAAATTTGTATCCTCATGCTTAAATTAATTCAATTCCACTATCACCATCCTCTCCCCATCCCCTTGCACCCCTCCCCATCCCCTTGCATCCCCTCCCTGTCTGTCATACCCTCCCAATCTGTCCCCTCCTCCAGCCCCCTATCCCATCTCAATCCTGTACACACTGCACTCCATCAATTCCAAATGTTCGTACGTCCCATGGTTCCAATCGCTCCACCTTTGGCGCGGTTCCTTCAGCTCCCTGGCGTTCTGGAACTCCCGTCCTAAGCATCTCCGTTTCGTTCTCTCTCTCTCTACACCTCTAAAACAGCCCTTAAAAACCTGCCCCTTTGACTGAGCTTTCTAACCCTGGTCCCTCATCTCCCGATGTGGCTTGGGGTCTGACTTCTTTCGGATTTACACTCCTGCGATGCAGCCTCGGCGGGGGAGGGGTTGGAGCTTTTAATCAAAATTAAGGGCTTCACTTTGAGTGAAAGTCTGGCGAAAAGTCTGCGCAAAGTCGGCCTCCTCCCAACACGGCCGCTTTCCCCTTCCTGCTCACTGCTCCTTACCGTGGAATGTTGTTCTTGGGATCCTCGCTGTCATTGGCCAGGCCTCCAAACAGGTAGCATTTATTCCCCACCAGGGAAAAGCTGTGGCCTAGGCGTGGGCATGGTAACGACCCATTCTTAGGAGGTTTGGGCTTCAGTTTTTTCCATTCCCAGCGGCTGGCCTGTGGAACGAGAAAGGGAGGGTGTGACTCCAAGAGCTGGGCTTTTCTTGCGAGCATCTGTCTCGCTCATTCACCCTCCCTGTTTCATCTTCATCTCATGTCCATGTCTCTAACTGGCAACCAAACATTCAACTTCTTGCGCGTTATAATTTCCCACACTCTGTTCATCTATTTCTAGGAAGAACTCAAATTAGAATGAACAAACACTCTGCTTTTTGCTCCCCCTCATCCAAACTGGCTTTTCTTTCTCAACTTAAAAAAAGTAGCTTTCTACTTCAAAGCCTAATTAAACAATAGTTCCTAACAAAGTGAGGGAAGGATTACAGCTATGCGGAAGACAGAAAGAGAGAGAGTGACCGAGAGAGACAGAAAACACAGCCAAGAGGAACAGAGTGATATACACAGTGAGGAAGAAGAGGGGATGAAGACAGACTCTCATTTTTCTTTTCGGGGAGGCTGAGTGGGTAAAGAGACCTAGGTGGGGAAGCTATGAAGTGGAGGTGCCGGTGTTAGACTGGGGGTGGATGAAGTCCGAAGTCACGTGACACCAGGTTATAGCCCAACAGGTTTACTTAAAATCACAAGCTTTCAGAGCGCTGCTCATTCGTCGGGTGAAATGGAGGGAAGCACACAGGCACAGAATATTCTGTGATTTCAAAAAACCTGTTGGACTATAAGTTGGGTGTCGCGTGACCTCTGTCTAGGTGGGTAAGGAGCTAAACAGACGGATATAAAAGGGAGTAGGAGAGGGAGACAGAGCATTGGGAAGGGGGAAATAAGACGAGAAACAAACACACACACCCCATGGCCCCCCTCCAGGGGAAGGCGGGATCCAGGGCAGAAGGATAGAGAGTGTGTCACTGGACTTGAAATGCTAATTTTCCTTCCACGGGTGCTGCTGAGTTTCACCAGCAGTTTCAGATCGCTAGCATCCTCAGTTCTTTTTTTTAAGTGTCTAAAATAAAACAGAGTGCAAAAGCTGGAGGGTTAAGAGATGGACTGACGGAGTGGAGAAGAGTGAACAGAACAAATGGATGAGGGAAGCAGAAAGGTAGACATTGAAAAGAGAGAGAGAGAGAGAGATAGCCAAAGACAGAGGCGACTATAAAAAGCTCAGGCGAGTTGGACGAATTCAGCAGGCAGGTTCATACCCAGGCAGAGTTGAGCAACCTGCTGTTCTACCAGGGGGACAATACCTGCAGTTCAAAGAGGTCATTGCTGTACTTCCCGTATTCCACCATGCCCCCGAATACCAGCAGGCGGGTTCCATCACACACAAAACCGTAGGCAGCGCATCCAGGCGGAATATCACCCCTCACCGCTGGGATAAACCACTGGTTTGTGGCTGTGGAGACAGACAGACAGACAGACAGATGGACGATCACATTAGATCAGCGCTCACCAGCCCACAGACTCCAACCTAGACAAAGGAAAGTCACCGTCGCAGCTTTCTCTCAATCCCCTGGCACACGGTCCTGGGCACACGCTCCCGTTTCAGTTGACAGTGGAGACCTGGTGACCCAGACTGTGCCAGTCCCACGCAAGTGCAAGGGATTTCTGCGCCACTATTCTGAAAAGACTATCAGAAGGTCATTCTCCTGGGTAAGGGAATTCTGATACTTATCCAAGCAAAGCTACACCCCCGGACCAAGAAGAAACAAGATGATCTGCTTCTTAAGATGTTGCCATCTGTGGGAGCTTGCTGTGCATAGACACATGCCAAAAGCATGTCAATGGTTGTGAAGTAGACAACATCTGACGCTAAGATTCCTGTTTCTACACAAAGACAACACAGCTCTTGATCCACCATAAAGATCACCCAATCGAGACCCTTACATGACGGCCCATGTTTCTAACATTGGACGGTCGACACTGCCCATATAACCACAAGCATAATTGACACATCAAACAACTGCATCTAATCCTGTGCTTTTGAAAAACAGTGAAGCTCCCTCTACACTATCCCCCATCAAACGGGGTTAAATACAGAGTAAAGCTCCCTCTACGCCATCCCCAAAGACTCCCAGGTGGGGAAATTCAGGTGAAGGGTTATAAACAATTCAGGAATGTTTGTGGGAGCTCCCTTGTCCTGCAAACAAGTGCCAGGTAAACAGACAGTGGGACCTGGGATGTTCTGGACTCATTCACCCTGACTGTTAGACAAAGTGACCCGAGTGGGGTCACAGTATTGAGACTTTACACTCAATGACAAGCCTGGAGAGAGGGAGTCAGAATCCAAGCCTCCTTCTGTCAGCAGACACAAACACTTCTTCCTCACGTTTTTACCCAGCAGGATGGGAGTGAGGGGTATTGGTTAGTGACCGTTACATTAAAAAACAATTGTACACTAAGCAGAAGCTGCAAATTCTGCAGGACCTCTCTCCTCTGTCCCACCATTGACAAGGCACAAGACAGTAGTGTGATAGAATGCTGCCCACTTGCCTGGATGGGTACGGTTCCAACAACACCAGAGAAGCTCATCACAATCCAGGACAAAGCAGCTTCTGCTCAACTGACACGCAAACCCCACCCCCCCACCTTCAACACTCATTCCCTCCACACCGACCCAGAGGGGCAGCAGCGCATACCATCTACAAGAAACACTGCAGCGACTCGCCAAGGCTCCTCCTCTTCCAAATCCACCACCTCTACCCCCTGGAAGGGCAAGGGAAGCAGATGCAGGGGGAACACCACACTCTGCAAGTTCCTCTCCAAATATGCACCACCTTTTACTCACTCCTGAGACCTGGGCGTCACCAGCTGGGGTGGCATTTACTGCCCATCCCTAATTGCCCCATGAGAAGGCAGCAGTGAGATTCTTGAACTGCACAAGTCCACAAGTTTGGGAAATGATATCAGGGAATGGAGATAAGGAAAAGGCAGGGAACTACAGTCTCATGAGCCTGTTATCAGTGGTGGGTAAGCTGTTGCAGGGACAGGATTTACATGTATTTGGAAAGGCAAGGTCTGATTAGGGACAGTCAACATGGCTTTGTGTGTGGGAAATCATGTCTCACTAACTTAATTGAGTTTTTTGAAGAAGCAACGAAGAGAACTGACGAAGACAGAGCAGTGGACATGATTTATATGGGCTTCAGCAAGAATCTGTATGGTAGACTAGTTAGCATGGAATACAGGGAGAATGAGCCATTAGGATACAGGACTGGCTTGAAGGTGGGAGACAGAGGGTGGTTGTGGAGGGTTGCTCTTCAGTCTGGAGGCCTGTGGCCAGCAGTGTGCCATAAGGATTGGAGTCTGGTCCACTGCTTTTTGTCATTTATATAAATGATTTGGATGCGAATATAGGAGGTATGGTTAGTAAGTTTGCAGATGACACCAAAATTGAAGGCATAGTGGACAGTGAAGAAGGTTACCTCAGAGTACAACGTGATCTTGATCAGATGGGCCAATGGACCGAGAAGTGGCAAATGAAGTTTAATTTGGATAAATGTGAGGTGCTGCATTTTGGGAAAGGCAAATCAGGGCAGGACTTATACACTTAATGGTAAGGTCCAGGGGAGTGTTGCTGAACAAAGAGACCTTGGAGTGCAGATTCATAGTTCCTTGTAAGTGGAGTCGCAGGTAGACAGGATAATGAAGGCAGCATTTGGTAAACTTGCCTTTATTGGTCAGCGCGTTGAGCATAGGAGTTGGGAGGTCATGTTGCAGCTGTACAGGAACGTTTGTGGGGGCTCCTCTTCCTGCAGGCAACCCCATGCTGTCCCTGTCCTGGGAGTAGGCCACTTGTGGAATACGGTGCTCAATTATGGTCTACCTGCTGTAGGAAGGATGTTGTGAAAATTTACAAAAGGGTTCCAAAAAGATTTACACGGACGTTGCTGGGGTTGCAGTGCTTTGAACAATAGGGAGAGACTGAATAGGCTGCGGATATTTTCCCTGGAGTGTCAAAGGCTGTGGGATTATCTTATAAAGTCATGAGGGGCATGGATGAATTGCCAAGGTCTTTTCCTCAGGATTTGGGGAGTGCAAAACAAGAGGAGCATAGGTTTAAGGTGAGAGGGGAAAGATTTAAAAGGGACTTAAGGGGCAACTTTTTTCATGCAGAGGGTGGTGCGTGTATGGAATGAGCTTCCAGAGGAAGTGGACGACGTTGATACAATGACAACATTTAAAAGGCATCTGAATGGATACACGAATAGGAAGGCTTTAAGAGGGATATGGGCCAAATGGGACTAGATTAATTTAGAATATCTAGTGGGCACGGACAAGTTGGACCAAAAGGTCTGTTTCCGTGCTGTACATCTCTATGCCGCACTGGGTCAAATTCCTGAAAGTCCCTCCCTTACAGCACTACCAAGTATCCCTACACCACACGGGTTGCAGTGGCTCAAGAAAGCAGCTCACCACCACCTTCTTAAGGGAGCGATTAGGGCTGGGCGATAGACACCCGCTTCCTTCAACAACCATATAAGCAGGGCTTCGCCTCAGGGTTGACCATGTCCATCACAGGAGCAGCAGGGTAGCCTGGCCCCAGCCAGAAGTGAGTCAATCAGGATTGAGGTTATGAGAGAAGTAGATAAAGTGAGTGGAATCCAAATAGCTCTTCACAGAGACTATCAGAAGTGAGGGACTGGGAGATCTGGAAGTGAGGGAGCCCTGCTGTGCCAAAGGGGACAGTGCCGAGGGAGCCCCAGAATAAGTGGCAATCCCTGTCACAGCGTCTGCAGGGCATTCAGAACTACAGCCTTGGCCGACCGGGAAACACTTCCAAGCCTTCTCTTCACTGATTTTCAATGTGCCAACCAGGAAGGAAATCGTATCATCCAACACTAATCACGTCGCAGAGGCCTGGAGATCTGGCCCTGCCCAATTCTGCCGCTCTCTGAAACAGAGTCGTCAGGACCCCAGAACACCAAACTGACATTTTGTCGTGTGCCTCAGTGCAGCCGAACGTCTCAAAGCACAAACCGACAAAAAATCAACTCGAAGCCAAGTCAGGGGACAGGTGACACACAGCATGGGCAAAGAAATCAGCCTCAAACAGAGTCTGTAATGAACAGGGAGAGTGCGGGAGGGGGGAGGTGGGGCGAATGTCGATGAGGGAACAAAAACAAAGTTGCTGGAAAAGTTCAGCAGGTCTGGCAGCATCTGTG